CATCAGTGATGAGAGAAAACGGATTTACAATGGTTAACTGTAATAAACACTCGTAGGTCGCGGAAAAAGCGTAAAATAAGGCGAATTTTTCGGGGAAAAAAAATATTTCCCGGGCAGCTGGGGTGCCGCGCGCTTCGGCCTATATCTCGAAAGTAAGTTATTTACCTACTTAGGGGGATTGCATCCTTATTTATGAATGAATTGACTTGATTTTCACAACAAACATAGGAGAATGATTGATTTACAAGACAATACGTACCTTTCTGAACTATCCCAAATATTTTTAGATTTATGTGGGCAACAAGACCGACATCTTCCAATATGACAAAAAAGTTATGAAACATTTTTTTTTAGCATGAAGATAAGGTTTATTTTAGAATAGGTACATAATTCGTGATGGAATTAGAGGTGTTCTATCAGCAGCAAGTGTCAAAACCACTTTTCCAAGTACCACTGAGTAGGACTCCGCTGCCAAATGCAATTTTTCGTAAATTTTGCATATTTCATTTACTTTTTGGCCGATATGATTGAAACTTCAGCACAGGAGGTTTTATATAAGCTTCTAATAGTACACCAAAAATGAACGTAATCGGTTGAAAAATAAAGAAGTCGATATGTTTCACCTGACCGCTCCCTAAATGCTACCCAATCAATAATCTTTGATAATGCTGTTTAGAGTTGACTATTTTATTTACTCATCTTGACTGTGTGCTAATGGAGTTACAGGAAGCTAACATCAAAGAAAGGCTGAACATTGACAATGATTCACCTCTTGTGCATTCCTTAAGTGATGGTGAAATTAGATGAATTGTGATAGATAAATAAGCCGTAAAGTTGATATTAGTGCCATGTTGAAGTATTTTGTCATGCCTCCTGATAGCAAGAATTCCGCTGGAATGAATTAATGCCATTTCAATTAATTTAAATGAGAAAAATTGACTCAGCATATGAACAAATCGGGATACGAACAAGGTCATGGAACAGATTAAATTCGTAAGCCGAGGTTCCACTGTATACACACTTACATAGATTATCATACATAGCAGCATATGTGTAAAGAACCTAGGATAACCCAAAAAAGTCAGATGCTTCACTGGTGAATATGATTCCTCACTATCGCTACTTGAATGGTCATCAAGAGCAATAAAATCAAAATCCACATCACTCTCATCACCATTACTCAAATCTGAGGCCTGGCCACTTGAAAATATTAGTTTTTTCGTGCGACGAGGTACAACTGAACACGACTGAAACGCACCAGCACCAGGTGGAAGGCTGAGGGTCGTCAGAATTTTTGGAGCCATTTTCAATAGCTTGAGCATTGCTTTTGGTCACAAATTGTTCAAAGCCATAGAATTCCTCTTCATCCACTTCCATCAGTGTTAGAAATATCAGTTGGAAAGAGGAGAATCCCAATTCGCCGGGGAGTGAGAGCTTCCTCGCCGCGAGGCATGATGAACAAAGCATATTGAGATGGCGTTCCCTCAATGCAATGCGGGTGCCCCAATTTTTTGTTTACTGCACACATTGACCATGTAGACCCATTCTCTTAGATGTAGGCCTACCAGCCTTGTCGCGCTAAATTTGAAGCCGCTAGAATTATGGTGTAGTTCTATAGCTTGGACCCTGGCTTCAAAGCCGTAGAACTATGGGATGGGCCCTCAAAGGATTAAGAATATACCAGAAATGTTATAAATGGTGCAAAGGTGACATTAAAACAATATCAAAGATGGCTGACACAAACCCACTAACATTATAGTAAGCTCCTCGCTTAGCTACAAATTTGTTTACCGACACTGTCTTGGGAACAAAACTTTGTCATTAAGTGAGGAGAGGTTGTAGTGATACATATTGCTTTTTGAACTCGTGTGCTCTAACTAGCATTGACCTGGGATTTCCCTAGACTGATTCCTTGTTTGTGAGAGCGCAGAACTTTACATAGGTTACCCAGTGTTGGATTAAGGCGTGGGGTTTAGGGGCTGCAGCCCAGGGGCCTCTGCCACCTGGAGGGCCTCCAGAGATGTTCTCAACAAATTAAAATTTATTAATATTTTAGAGAACTTTGTTTCCAAGAAATTATGCAAAGCAAACCTTTGAATTTTAATTGTGGTTTGCCTTGTGAAAATAAATTTAATGCTTTTTTAACTTTTTTCTTTTGAAAATATCACTGGTGGCCTCAAAGCATCTGTAGCCCAGGGGCCTACAGAATCTTAATCTGGCTCTGAGGTTACCCATCTGTGAAATGGTGGAACATGTGATTATGTTTCGATTTATTTGGGTTTCATTGTTTCTAACTTAAATGCAAATCTACACCTTCAGACAGGGCACCTAAGAACTAATTGAAGTTTTTAATTGCCATGCTACAATACAAACCACCTCTGTGCTCTTGTTTTCTATACATTATGTTTGCAAGTTAAAAATTCAGGAAAGCAACTCATTTGTAAGTTGTGGATTTCCTATATACAGTGGAACAGTTGTTGACTGCTTTACTTGTTGAAAAAATTAGTTTTCAAGTGAGGAATTCGAGAAAAAATGTCCTGGTTTTTGTATGTTCTCTTGGTTGTCAACCAACAACATGAACAGCTTGGGTCACGTGCTCACAGAATGCACACAGTTATGCGGTGATAGTGTTTCAGAGGTCATTATTTGTGAAAAACCAAGACAGTTGTATGATGACCTGGAAAAAAACCTGGAACAAGTGCTGAAATTTAGTCCTTCAAGGCTAGTAGGGGTTGGTTTGATAATTTTAAGAAAAGTGCCATTCATGAGGAGGCTGCCAGTGCTGACAAAGTAGCTTTTGAAAAGTATGTTATTGAATTTCAAGAGTACATAGAGGCTGAGAGGATTGTACCCCACCAAGTGTTTAATTGTGTTGAGACAGGCCACTACTGGAAGAAAATGCCCAAGAGAACCTACATAACTGAAGAGGAAAAGTCAGTGCCAAGACACAAGCCAATGAAAGACAGGCTCACTGTTACATTGTGGTAATGCAAGTGGGGACTTGAAATTGAAGCCCTTGTTGATCATTCTGAAAATCCATGAGCTTTTAAGAACAACGTTATGAAAAACAAATTGGCTATAATGTGGAGGGCCAATACAAAAACTTGAGTAACAAGCCATTTTTATATTGAGTGGGTGCATGAGGTTTTTGCTCCCACTGTCAAAAAGTACCTCATTAAAAAACAATTGCCACTCAGGGCCCTTTTACGTATAGATAATGCTCCTGCTCACCCTCAAAGCTTGGAAAATGAGTTTCTGGAGGAGTTCAGTTTTATAACGGTGAAGTTCTTGCCTCGTAACACCACTCCTCTCATCCAGCCCAAGAACCAGCAGGTCATTTCTAACTTCAAGAAACTACACCAAAGCACTTTTTGAAAGGTGCTTTGAAATCATTTCAGAAACAAATTTAACCCTCAGGGAGTTCTGGAAGGACCATTTCAATATCCTCACCTGCTTGAGGCTTATAGACAAAGCCTGAGGGAAATGTGTCTTCAGGACCATGCAGTCCTATTCAAGATTGATGGATTGACCACATTGACTCAAGGTTGAGGGACTGATTAAACCTCATTCTCTTCCTGTTCTTCATGATTCTCCTTTGATGAAGCCGCTGTGTGGTGAAACGTTTCCTCAATAAAGATACCCAAGAGTTGCACATGTGTCTAATTTATCAACATGTGGGTTCTTTGAACCATTCATCTACAACACCATGCAGCCAGCATGGAAGGAATTATGGCCTGACTTTGTGGCAGCCTGGAATTTTGAAAGCTTTGAAGATGAGCCTGAGCCAGTAGAGGATATTGTGTCCTTGGAGAAGACCTTGGGCCTGGAGGTGACGAAGATGATGTGGAGTTGGTGGAGGAGCATAGAACTGAACTTACCACAGAAGTACTTGTAGACCTTCAGGAGGAGCAGGAACAGATTGTAGCAGAGGAGCTGTCAACAGAGGAAGAGGAGGGAAGGGATGATGTGCCCATTGCACTTGTGAAGGAAATGTGTACTAAATGGCATGAAGTGCAGGAATTTGCAGAAAAATACCATTCAGACAAAGTAGTGGCCATCCGTCTCTCTATCATGTACATTGACAGTGTAATGTCTCAGTTTAGACAAGTGTTAAAATGGAGCCTAAAACAATCCTCATTGGACAGGTTTTTAGTGAGACAACCAGTGAGCCAGAACAGTGTGTTAGTGGTGAAAAGAGATAAAGAAGAGAAACAACACAAGGACAGTTGCCTGACATATTAATAGGTGACTCTCCTTCCAAGCAGTAACATCTTCCCTCCTCTCCACCTCCTGCTTCCAGTATGCCATTAGCTCTTCTCTGACAGGTAAAAAGCAGTTAAATTTTCATTTACTATACGGTATTTCAGCTAAAGTTTCTTTTAGTATTCATTTTTACAGTTTTATGTAGTACTTAATACATTTTTAATAAATTATTACTGTATTTTGCAGCTTATTAAACACATTTTTTTTTCCATTAAATGTCTCCAAAAACCACCCTGCATCCTATAAACTGAAGGTTAGTGACGGGAGCTATAAGTTTGGGGTGTTGGGTGGGCTGTAGCTCTCCCAGTTACATCTGATGCTGAGCCATTGAAACTAAAACAAGTCTTGTAAGCCACGTCTTATAAGCTGCAAAATACGGTATATGTATTGTCATTTGGCATCTGGAATGGATTAATTCTATTTACATTATTCTTTATGGGATAAATTGCTTTTGTTGTCGTCTATTTTGGTCGTTGAATCTACACCTGGAACGAATTAAATTTGACAACTGAGATTCCACTGTACTTGTTATATCATGCACTTTCAACATATAGAATAGCATTTCTAAGTTATAACTAGAAACATTATGTAATAACAGGCCATTACATAATAACAGGCAGGAGAGAAGTCGGAAGTGTTGGGAAGGAAGCAACGAATATAGTGTAGAAGACGAGGCAGGATCATACACTTTACCAACACCTTGTATATTTTTTTAATGTTCTTATTTTCCTCTCCAGAAGGTAACAATGAAGTGTAAAGTAAATGAGTTGCCAACCAATGGTGTGGGAAGGTCTCGTAACTGTTCTCTGACTGGCTCTTCTTCGCCTATCAAGTTACACAGAGAAGATGCTACACTTAAAACCAGGAGCAACAAAGTAAGCTTGTGTCATCGTCATCATTGTTAACTTGTGCTGTATTAAGTTACTGCTGGATGAAGGCCATCCCAGTGGGCTGTAGTTATGACCATTGACTTCAAATAACCTATAAATTTGTATAGCATTGTAGTGTAGTGGTTGATTTTTTAGTTATCTAGTCGATATAAAAATTTGCTAACCTTCAGCAGAAACATGTTCAGCATGTTTGGACCATTTAAGGGTTAATGTTGAGACCTCCATAATTAGGTAGAATGCATTGTTCCTAAGGTAAAGAATAAAGATTTTATTTCTTTGTAAGGGTTGCAATGTGTAATTACAATTTTGGTTTGTTAAGTACAAAGAAAGTCACTATCATGCCGGGGCATTTCAGGCAGACTTATCCTAGTATACATAATAACTACTTAAATCTAGACAGGATAAGAGTGGTTAATTTAACTTTTTAATAAATCTTTATTTAATCTTAATACTAATATGAGGTAGTCAAGGTGGAAGTTTATAAGAATCATAATCTTGAAGTTGAACATAATAATAACAGTATTACAGTTAATGGTTCAAACAGTAACATTTCATGGATTAGCAGATGTTTAGTAGATGGGTTTAACAGGTGGTCTAGTAGGCCTACTACAATACACTACACTACTTTTCTTGTACAAATACAAATAATTTGTTTCTTTTCTGCAGTATGCAGGTAATGTCCTTTATATACAGTGGACCCCCAGTTATCAGCCGCTTCTGTTATCGGCCAGCTTGGTGATCGGCTGGTTTTTCAGCGCCCGGTTATCAGCCGTTAATTCGGTGATCGGCCATTTAGGATGCGTCTCTTCGCCGGCTGGGGCCACTTGCACGTCAGTTTGGCTGTGTCTCTAGGTGGCTGAGGAAGCTTCTGCTCATACATCCAAACATTTTGCTTGTTTTCCATTGTTTTTTGTGGGTTTTTGCAGTGCAACTGCAAAATAAGTAACCGAACCATGGCTTCAAAGAAAGTTCCTTGTAAAGTTCGTGTGGTAAAGAAAGTGAGAAACACCATGGAATTTAAGTGTGAAGTGTAGCAGGGAGTGTAACAGGCATGCAGGAAGTGTAACAGGCATGCAGGGAGTGTAACAGGCATGCAGGGAGTGTAACAGGCATGCAGGGAGTGTAGCAGGCATGCAGGGAGTGTAACAGGCATGCAGGGAGTGTAAACAGGCATGCAGGGAGTGTAGCAGGCATGCAGGGAGTGTAACAGGCATGCAGGGAGTGTAGCAGGCATGCAGGGAGTGTAACAGGCATGCAGGGAGTGTAACAGGCATGCAGGGAGTGTAACAGGCATGCAGGGAGTGTAGCAGGCATGCAGGGAGTGTAACAGGCATGCAGGGAGTGTAACAGGCATGCAGGGAGTGTAACAGGCATGCAGGGAGTGTAGCAGGCATGCAGGGAGTGTAGCAGGCATGCAGGGAGTGTAACAGGCATACAGGGAGTGTAGCAGGCATGCAGGGAGTGTAGCAGGCATGCAGGGAGTGTAGCAGGCATGCAGGGAGTGTAGCAGGCATGCAGGGAGTGTAGCAGGCATGCAGGGAGTGTAGCAGGCATGCAGGGAGTGTAGCAGGCATGCAGGGAGTGTACAGGCATGCAGGGAGTGTAGCAGGCATGCAGGAAGTGTAGCAGGCATGCAGGGAGTGTAGCAGGCATGCAGGGAGTGTAGCAGGCATGCAGGGAGTGCAACAGGCATGCAGGAAGTGTAGCAGGCATGCAGGGAGTGTAGCAGGCATGCAGGGAGTGTAGCAGGCATGCAGGGAGTGTATCAGGCATGCAGGGAGTGTAGCAGGCATGCAGGGAGTGTAGCAAGCATGCAGGTAGTGTAGCAGGCATGCAGGGAGTGTAGCAGGCATGCAGGGAGTGTAACAGGCATGCAGGGAGTGTAGCAAGCATGCAGGGAGTGTAACAGGCGTGCATGGAGTGTAGCAGGCATGCAAGAAGTGTAACAGGCATGTAAGGAGTGTATCAGGCATGCAGGGAGTGTAGCAGGCATGCAGGGAGTGTAACAGGCATGCAGGAAGTGTAGCAGGCATGCAGGGAGTGTAGCAGGCATGCAGGGAGTGTAGCAGGCATGCAGGGAGTGTAGCAGGCATGCAGGGAGTGTAACAGGCATGCAGGGAGTGTAGCAAGCATGCAGGGAGTGTAACAGGCATGCAGGGAGTGTAGCAAGCATGCAGAGAGTGTAACAGGCATGTAAGGAGTGTATCAGGCATGCAGGGAGTGTAGCAGGCATGCAGGGAGTGTAGCAGGCATGCAGGGAGTGTAACAGGCATGCAGGGAGTGTAATAAGCATGCAGTGAGTGTAGCAGGCATGCAGGGAGTGTAGCAGGCATGCAGGGAGTGTAGCAGGCATGCAGGGAGTGTAACAGGCATGCAGGGAGTGTAATAAGCATGCAGGGAGTGTAGCAGGCATGCAAGGAGTGTAGCAGGCATGTAAGGAGTGTATCAGGCATGCAGGGAGTGTAGCAGGCATGCAGGGAGTGTAATAAGCATGCAGGGAGTGTAGCAGGCATGCAGGAGTGTAAGGCATGCAGGGAGTGTAGCAGGCATGCGGGAGTGTAGCAGGCATGCAGGGAGTGTAGCAGGCATGCAGGGAGTGTAATAAGCATGCAGGGAGTGTAGCAGGCATGCAAGGAGTGTAACAGGCATACAGGGAGTGTAGCATGCATGCAGGGAGTGTAACAGGCATGCAGGGAGTGTAGCAGGCATGCAGGGAGTGTAACAGGCATGCAGGGAGTGTAGCAGGCATGCAGGGAGTGTAGCAGGCATGCAGGGAGTGTAATAAGCATGCAGAGGGATGTACAGGCATGCAGGAAGTGTAGTAGACATGCATGGAGTGTAGCAGGCATGCAGGGAGTGTAATAAGCATGCAGGGAGTGTAGCAGGCATGCAGGAAGTGTAACAGACGTGCATATAGTGTAGCAGGCATGTAAGGAGTGTATCAGGCATGCAGGGAGTGTAACAGGCATGCAGGGAGTGTAGCAAGCATGCAGGGAGTGTAACAGGCATGCAGGGAGTGTAGCAAGCATGCAGGAAGTGTAGTAGACATGCAGGGAGTGTAGCAAGCATGCAGGGAGTGTAACAGACGTGCATATAGTGTAGCAGGCATGTAAGGAGTGTATCAGGCATGCAGGGAGTGTAACAGGCATGCAGGGAGTGTAGCAAGCATGCAGGGAGTGTAACAGGCATGCAGGGAGTGTAGCAAGCATGCAGGGAGTGTAACAGGCATGAGGAGTGTAGCAAGCATGCAGGAAGTGTAGTAGCATGCAGGGAGTGTAGCAGCATGCAGGGAGTGTAACAAGGCAATGCAGGAGTAGTAATAAGCATGCAGGGAGTGTAGCAGGCATGCAGGGAGTGTAGCAGGCATGCGGGGAGTGTAGCAGGCATGCAGGGAGTGTAACAGGCATGCAGGGAGTGTAATAAGCATGCAGGGAGTGTAGCAGGCATGCAAGGAGTGTAACAGGCATACAGGGAGTGTAGCATGCATGCAGGGAGTGTAACAGGCATGCAGGGAGTTTAGCAGGCATGCAGGGAGTGTAACAGGCATGCAGGAAGTGTAGCAGGCATGCAGGAAGTGTAGCAGGCATGCAGGGAGTGTAGCAGGCATGCAGGGAGTGTAATAACATGCAGGGAGTGTAATAACATGCAGGGAGTTTAGCAGGCATGCAGGGAGTGTAACAGGCATGCAGGAAGTGTAGCAGGCATGCAGGGAGTGTAACAGGCATGCAGGGAGTTTTAGCAGGCATGCAGGGAGTGTAAGGCAGCAATTCGCAGGGAGTGTACAGGCATGCAATAGTGTAGCAGGCATGCAGGAGATGTAACAGGCATGCAGGGAGTGTACAGGCATGCAGGGAGTTTTAGCAGGCATGCAGGGAGTGTAACAGGCATGCAAGGGGGTGTAGCAAGCATGCAGGAAGTGTAATAGCATGCAGGGAGTGTAGCAGGCATGCAGGAGTGTAGCAGGCAATGGGAGGAAGTTATGCATGCAGGATGCAGCATGCAGGAGTGTAGCAAGCATGCAGGGAGTGTAGTAGGCATGCAGGAAGTGTAAGCAGGCATGCAGGGAGTGTAGCAGGCATCCAGAAGGAGTGTCCACATCAAGGATGTAGCAGCATGCTTAAGTGTAAAGAATATTTTTGGCAGATAGTGTTAGCAGGCAAGATAAGTTTTAATACATACATTAGGGAAATGTATTCAAGGCAAGCTTGGAAGTTACGGCAGGATACGTCAGGTAGTGTAGTTAGGCACAGAAAGCTAGCATGCAGGGATGCAGGTGCACGTTAAATGTAGGGACATTCATAAGCTGCAGAAGCAGGACAAACTCTGCTCAAGTTCGGTCATTTTAAATAACTTCAGAGTTCATTGTTACAGAAATGTTGCATTATTGTACAATCAAGCAAAACAATGTAACCACATTAAATTAAAAGGAACTACTTCGAAGTCCATTAAATCAAGGTTTAAGGGATGATTATTTAGTTAGAATAAACAGCAACTAATAATAAATTAAAATAATTTATTAAAGGGACAAAGGTACAGACTTACAGCATGCTGTGCATTTTGGGCACTGTTAAATTTTGGGACTTCATAAGCTTCAGAAATGCAGGACAAACTCTGCTCAAGTCGGTTCATTTGGAAATAACTTCAGAGTTCATTGTTTACAGAAATGTTCATTATTGTTACAATCATAGCAAAACAATGTACCACAGTCAACATTACAGGACACTCACTTCCCCGACAGTCCATTAAATCAAGGGTTTACAGGGATGATAATTATAGTATATAATAACAGCAACTAATAATAATATTAATAAAGCTAATTTTTATTCTCACAGGCATACAAGTGGTACAGACTTTACAAGAATCCCATAGAGACAACATTTTGGGTAGATTTAAACTGAGAATAAAACTACTAACGATACATATGTATAAGCTTGTGAGTTTAGTGCAAGGTACTGACAGGTAAGATCTGCTCACAGCTAACAAATGAAAAGAATTGATTGATAATACACTGTTATTTAAATATGTATACATCAGAATTAATATTTGGTTAGGCAGGATAAAAAATCATAATGCAGTGAAATAAAAAAAAGTAGTTATAATAATTTTGTAATAGTAAAAAAAAATTTTTTTAACACATCAGCCATTTACCACTGAGGCAGGGTGACCCAAAAAGAAAGAAAAAGAAAGTTAAATATAGTAAATAAAAAAACTGGGGTAGGATTAAAGAAAGACAATTGACTCATGGTACAATTAATAAATTACCAGAAAATTCAGAGTTTGGAGATTAGGAGGTGTGGAACTACCAAAAATATTAATAAGATGGTTGAAGAGGGGTTCCTGAGATTTGGGCATTTAGAGAGGATGGAGAAAAATAGGACGACTAGGAGGGCGTATAAATTGGGTGACAGGAAGGAGGGGTAGGGGGTCATCTTACTGATTGTTGGAGGGAGGGGTAAAGGAGGTTTTAAGTGCTAGGGGATTGGACATCCTGCAGCTTTGTGTGAGTGTGTTAACCTTTTGACTGTCAAGAACCCTGCTCACAAACTTGCGCTCAATGTCAAAGATTAAAAAAAAAAAAAAAATTTCTTATGAAATGATAGAGAATCATTTCCCAATGGTCATGACACCAAAACTATGAAATTTGATTGAAAACTTGCAGAATTATGCTCTTGCAAAGTTAGTGATCTCTGCGATATTTGCACACCGGCAATTTCACCCACCCACTATGAGCCCTATTTTCGGCCAGTTCCATTGTTCCAGTCGACCATACTCGTATCTACTTCTGTAGAACTCTATTTGTTCTATCGATTAAGTACAAGAAACCGCCCGTTTACCAATCAATTGCATGCAAATTAAAAAAAGATTCCAATTTCAAAATAGGATCCAGAATGAACAATGCAGACATTCCTGGCGCTAAAATAACATTTTCTCTGTTCATCAGTCATGTCTCTAGGCCCCTCTGATATTACTCTTGCTTTTTATTTTGAATTTTTATTCACACAAAAAATAGAAGATTTATTGTTATGCAGACTACTGCATTATTGTAATAATTGTATAAATAATGTCAACCCATTCATAACTGCATATTAGAATGGCTAGTTGGACACTTATTGGACAATGACGTCGTTTGTTTACTCTTGAACAATGACACAAATCGAACACTTCCACTACTTTGAGTTCAATTTCAAGGTCCTTTTCATCGTGAAACCAATTAAAATTATCTCTATATCTGTAATGTGTCTTCCATTCTATCCAATGAGATCAAGAAAACGAAAATACAACCATAAATACTATACGAAAATACACCTCAAAGTCAGCGTTTTAATCCAAAAACATGGTCAGATTTTTTTTTTCTCATTATGCACTGCTTGCTGCAGGATTTTTTTTATACTGCTCACACTGACCACACAGACCCATTCTCTCACATGTGGGCCTGCCAGCTTTCTCCCGCTTGATTTGAAGCCACTAGAATTTTGGAGTATAAATACGTCAAAAACACTGGCTCGTAAGACGTATATATACGACCGAAACAGTCAAAGGGTTAAATATGAGTGAGCAGAGGCAAGTGGTTTTTATGATTTGATATTCTATTGGAGTGTGAGCAAAGTAAAGGGATTCAGGGAAACCAGTCCTGGAGGTTGGAAAATCAGTACCTGCATTCTGAAGGGGAGGGGTGGAGGTGGGAAGTACAGTGCCTGCACTTTGAGGGAGGGGTGGCAGTGGGAAGTACAGTGCCTGCACTGTGATGAGAAGTACAGTACCTGGGAAGTACAGTGCCTGCATTCTGAAGGAGGGGTGGGGATGTTACAGTTAGGAGGGGCATCTGAACTGTGATGTCAACCACCCTTCTAGCAAAACAGTGATTGAATGAGTGACATTGAAAGGGTTTTCTTCTTTGTTGGGCCACCTTACCTCGGTAGGAAACTGCTGGGGTGTTAAAAAGTAAAATGTAATACTTTATAGTAAATAAAGGAATTTGTTGCTAAAGAAATGTGTGGTGATTTCTTAAAGTTGACGTATATAAGAGGGTAGATATAGGCCTAGCACCATCACACAGAAATCCAGGCCCCATCCAGCATTACTTGACCTCACCTCAACATTGCTTGGCAGGTCACCTCACCTACATAGGATCGGACACCTCAGCTTCACCACTTCGATACCACTCTCAGTATAATGGATTGATCAGGGTGAAATCTCCGATTATCTGTTAAATAAGAATAAAGTTAAAAAATCAGAGAAAAAACATACAGTATAAATACGTACTATACTGTCTGCCTTCCAAACAATTTACTGATATATTGCAATAAACTCGGAAAATAAATGAGTTAAATGTACATTTTGTCAGTGGATCTTGTCTCTTATATCAGAAGTCAGTTATATCGAGGGTTTACTCATGTCACTAATTGTGATATCCTTTGTGCTTGATAAAGCCTAGTGTACATGAAACATTGTAATGATAAAGATCTTTTTCTGTACAGTAGTATGTGTCTTTTTACCATTTGTCAGCTACACTATACTCCAGCTACAAGCTTTCTAGAGGAATTAGTGTGGAATAGCATCCATATTAAATCTTGAAAGAGTTATTAAGTGCCTCTAACTAGCTTTATATTTTCAGACGTCTAAAAATGAAGGGAACATTCTACGAAGGTCATCTCGACGAGCAACCATTGAGCGCAGAGTGTGGGCCGTTCCCAAGAAGTCCTCAAAACCTACTCCAACAAATGTTAAAGAGAAGAGCCCTCAAAAATCAGTCAAAAAAGAGAAAGATAAAAAAGACAGAAGCAAAACAGACATTAAGAATATGGAGAGAATGCAGTTGTGTGAAGGCACTAAGAGAGGCCTCATCACTCCAGAAGAAGCAGGAAATGCAAGAAGAAAAGTTAAGAAAAAAGAAGGCCGCAGTGATGTAGGTACAAACAAAGATACTCTAAGTGAGGACTTATTAGCAAGAGAGTATGTTAAAAAGGAGAAAGTTACCTTTGTGGAAGAGGATGATGAAACTGATTACAAATCCCAAATCAGACAAACGTGTAAAGATATTAAGTCCAGTGTTGATTGCAAAAATGTTTGTGTAAATAAATGTGAGTTTGTTGACAATGATGAAAGAACAGGTGTTCCTTGTGTGGCTCTCGTTAATGATAACTGTCAAAAATTTAGTTCAAGTACTTTATGTAGTGTTGTGGATAACAGTAGAGGAGTAGAGGAGACTTTATGTATTGAAGATGTATGTCTCAATAAAGCAGTGATTGAAGAGGTAGTGCCTGACTGTCAAATTTCAGAGTCTCAGAATATTGAAAATTCTGTAAATTCTGGGGGTCATGATGCTTTTTCCACAGGTAGTGTTAATTCCAGTGAGGCATTTAGAAGTGTAGAAAATGCAGTAGGTCATTTTTACAGTGAAGGCAGGTTATTAGGCAGTGATAAGTCTACAGACAATTTTGACACACACAAACAAGACAGTGATAAATGTAGACAAGTGATAGAAAGAGGTGTTGAAAATGTTGAGAACCACAGTTTAGTAAGTACCTACAGTGACCAACATGTAAAAACTCAACAACTTAAAAGTGTGGAGGAGCTGTCTGAGATGAAAGAGAAGTGTGTGCAGGACATTGGAGAAAAAGAGGTGACAGGCACTTGTAAACCTCCATTTGATATATGTACTAAGAATATTGGTAAAGGAATAAATCAAAATGTTGAAGGTCAAGAAGAACATCATGAAATGAAAAATAAAATTGTGAGAGAAAATGTATTAGAAAATAGTGCATCTAAGGAGAGAGCAATTTTAAAAAGTGCACTTGCACCAGAGAAAGACACAGTTAGACTACCAAATAACATAACTCCAAATTTTTCCACGAATAGTGAAAGCAGCACAGTTGTGGTTCCCATAGAGCATCCTGAGATGGAGCCCCAGCCAGACAGTGAAGAAGAGGACCATGTCTCTTTGAGTGTGGCACTTGCTCAACTTGTTGATTCTGGCTGCAGCGATGAGGTTGAAGGTACTGAGACAGTGACCATTCACTCTGCTTCATCTGTGGTGCAAGTGACTGAGCAGAAAACGGGGGCAATAGTGACACTGGAGCTTAACTCAAAAGGTATTTATGCTTGTAATTGATTGTTCTTTCTCAAAATAAATGTTTGTCTCCTACTGAAATAGAATGACCCAGAAAAGACTAAACACCTGCACTATCAATCATTTAATCACTGTCTTGCAAAAGGCATGCTGACATCATCTCTCTAGTACTTAAATCTTCGTTACTGTAAGAATGCTGCTAAACTGTAATTAGTGTTATTTAAATTGTTAGCATTTGTCTTGTTTGAACTTATAAGCATACCAGGGAAACCCCATAGATTGTTAGCATTAATCTTACTCAAAACAAAGTGCACAAGCAGCCCCATAAAGACTGTTCAATACCTTGTTAAACCACAGAGATGAACTGCTTATTTTCTAATATCCTTTGATTGGTGTAGGAGCAGACTTTGACTTTATAAAAGCTATTTACAGTGGTGTTGTACTCTTTTATCATTCCCATGTTGGTATCACATTTCTTATAAGTACTGTGCATTTTGTGTATATCCTTTTTCTCAGCCTTAACCCTTGGACTGTCGACACCCCCAAATTGAAAGCACCTTCTGTGTCGCAAGTTTTGAATAATAAAAAATTATTTTATATTTTAAAATGGTAGAGAATTTTTTTCTAAAGGTAATGTCACCAAAAATGCAAAATTTGGGTCAGATACTCATGAAATTATGCAGGCACAAAGTTAGAAGTCAAGGAGCACTTTCTGCAGCAGTCATTTTGCCTAATTTGAGGCTATTTTTAGATTAATTCCAGTGCTCAAACTGACCTAATTCCTGACTATTTTGCTTTCTGTGCTATTCATTGATCACAAAGAATAGTATAAAATTGGCCAAATTACCAACCTTGAAGTTGATAATTTGGCCATTTTTATACTATCCTTCTCCCCCCCCCTTCCTCCAGGGAGGCTCCTTGATGTTGGTGAGGGGCTCTTAATCCATGGAATTGAACCTGCCCTCCTCTTCCTTAGGTCTAACCTGAATGCCTCCCATTCCCCCAAGTGTTATATGACTCCTGTAGGTGTAATGCTTCCCCATGAATGTAAGGATAATAATAATAATAATTGCACTGTTTTCAGCAAATTACAATTAAAAAATCCTTCCCAAGCAAAATTGTGAAAAATAACCATTTCCAACACTGAGGCCTATCTGAAACCAATTGAAATCTTAACCATTTCACTAGTATGTCTTCCAGTCTATCAGTTGACACCAAGAAACAGCCAATAAAAACCTTAGAAACCACCCAAAAAAGCCTCAAAGTCAATATTTTATTCTAAATGCAAGGTCAGAGGTTAGTTATATCCATTATGCACTGTGTAAGACAGGATTTCTTTTTTATACTGTGCACACACACTGCACAGACCTGTTCTCTCATTTGTAGACCAAAATTTGATGCTCACAACAAATTTGAGGGTGCTGTGAATTATACGTAGAAAACTTAAACAGGAAAACAAAATACATCAGTGTTTCACGCGAGATGGGAAAATACTAGTAAGGAAAACATCAACAGGACAACAATATACTATCTCAAATGAACACGATTTCTCTACCTTCCTTAGAAAAGCTGACATTTCTGTAACAGATTAGATAAGTGCCCTTAATACATATATACGTGTGGTGCATATAGTGTACGTTACTATTATATTGTACATTATTATTTTTATTATTTTTCATCACTAGCTAATGAAATACCTCCAATACTCTATACTTCTTTCTTACTGCTATTAATTGCTCATAATTTTAAATTACAAGTCAAATCTTACTCCAAATTAATAATATTCATTATTCTTACCTGTCCATTTAATTTTGTTTATCACTACTTGTTTTTTTAGTCACTTTTCATTGTGTATGCAATTAGTGTATATTCCAATTACTTTTTTGCAAGTACCAAAACTATCTTTTGCTAGCTAGTACCAACTACCTCATTTTTTTTACTTTTATTGTGCAATAAACTGCTCAATTTATTTAATATTACAAATCAGATCTTACTCCTAAACCAATATTATTTCATAGTGACCACCTGTCCATTTAACTTTGTTTACCATTACTTAATTTTAGTCCCTTATATATTTTCTCCTTTATTTTAGCTTTATATAACTACCCTAGTTTATACATTCACAATTGTTAAAATAATCAAGGTGCTATTCTCAGGTGCTAAAGTAGAATAAGTTCACAATTTTGCCATTATATTCCAAAGCTCATTTATTTGATTACCACTTTATTGTTCACCACAACTTACATTAGTCCCTTTTATATTATTATTTTATACTATAATTCTAACTTTAAAGAATTACCTTTTTAGTACTACCTACTATCATATTCCCAAGCTCCATTATTTGATTATCACTTTATTTGTATTAGTACCTTTTATATTGACTCATTTATTTAGCTTAAAAAAAAAAAAAAAAAAAAAACTACCTTAGCTCATTATTTTACATTGTTAAATAATTCAGGTGCTATTTTTTAGCTTAAGACTATTTTACCTTGTTTATACTTATTGCTAACTATAGTTTCACTACAAATCTTATGATTAAAGCATTGATCCTGATACCAACTCTATTTTAAGCACTTAATTGAATCAAACAGTTACTGTAATTACTACATGCAGAACAATCAAGGCACTTCTCAGTGCCAACAAAAACATAACTATCTTTATCTACAATATCAGATCTTTAAGCAGCATTACGATGATCCATGCATTACTAAATTCCGTACATGCCCAATATGTCCATCATTACACTAAATGAAACCTGGCTAAACCGGATAGTACGTGTTATGCCATTCCTGGTACACAGCCATACAACAACTGTAGGCCAGGACCAAACAAGGGGGTGGCACAGCATATACTACTCAGGACCAATAGGAATGTATCACTAATCTTGCACAAGGGATGAAATGGGGAATATATAATAGCCAAATTCATATTCCAATACCTACATAATACCTCTCAATTGATAAACTATTTACCGAGTATCCTCAGTCAAAATTAGCCAATTTAGTCAAAACCTATGAAGTTTGATCATGATGCACGCATGACAAAGATCACTACTTACTTTCAGGTTGACTTCATATAAATTCTCCGCAGACCAGGACCCACACGTTACTGAATTCACAAACCACAATGAGAACTGTATGTTGCTACCACGTTAAACAAAACCTACAAGAGTTAACAGAGACATAGTGTTCCCTACTGACCACATCTGGACCAAACACCTTATCCCCTTAAATCAGGCATATTACAGATTATGAACACAGACCACTACCCTACTTTTATCATAACAACTCTTGGTAATTTACCCAAGACCACTACTAAAGTCACCTTCAGACTTCACATGTGGCAGCATAATAAACTTCACAACTGCAGTAGTAGCATACATTGACTGGTACACTGAGCTAGAATTTTTATTTTTTATTTTTTTTTTTTTTATTATCACACTGGCCGATTCCCACCAAGGCGGGTGGCCCCGAAAAGAAAAACTTTCACCATCTTTCACTCCAACAATGTTTGCCAGAAGGGTGCTTTTCACTACAGTTTTTAAAACTGCAACATTAACACCCCTCTTCATAGAGCAGGCACTGTATTCCCATCTCCAGGACTCAAGTCCGGCCTGCGTTCCCTGATTCCCTTCTATAAATGTTACTTTGCTTCACACTCCAACCGCACGTCAAGTATTAAAAACCATTTGTTCCATTCACTCCTATCAAACACCTCACACGCATGCCTGCTGGAAGTCCAACCCCTCGCCACACAACAACTACTTTACCCCTCCCTTCCAACCATTCCTAGGCCGACCCTACCCGCCTTCCTTCCATCTACCGGTGATACACTCATGAAGTCATTCTGTTACGCTCCATTCTCTCTACATGTTCCCGAACCTCCTCAACAACCTTCATCCGCCCTCTGGAACAACAGTTTTGGTAATCCCAGCACTCTCTCCTAACTTCCAAACTTCGATTCTATGCATATATTCACACCACACCATTGCCCTCAGACATGACATCTCCATGCCCTCCAGCCTTCTCCTCGCTGCAACATTCTTTCACCAGCTGCAACCCATATAGAGCGTTGGTAAAACTTACTCTCATACATTCCCTCTTTGCCGCCAAGGCAAAGTTCTTTGTCTCCACAGACTCCTAAGTGCACCACTCACTCTTCTTTCCCTCATCAATTTTTTTTTCCCCCCGTTTGATTTTTTCACCTCATCTTTCATAGACCCCATCCGCTGACTCGTCACTCCACCATATTTCTGAATTCGTTACACCTCCTCCATACTCTCTCCCTCCAATTGATATTCAATCTTTCATCACCTTAATCTTTTTGTTATCCCATAACTTACTTTTCCTGTATTCACCTTTAATTGCTTCTTTTGCACACCCTATCAATTTCATCACCAATCTCTGCAGTCTCTCAGAATCACCCAAGGAGCACAGTGTCTCAGCAAAGAGCAGCTGTGACAACCCACTTTGCTCATTGGTGTGATTCTTTTCTTGTAACTCCACGCCTCTTGCAAGACCCTCGCATGTATTCTCTTACAACCCCATCTAATTAAATTATTAAACAACCACGGTGACATCCACACATCCTTGTCTAAGGCCCTACTTTTAGGGAACAAAAAATTTCCCTCTTTCATACTTACTCTAACTTGAGCCTCATGTCCTCGTAAAAACTCTTCCACTCGCTTCGTGTAACCTACTATACACATATACACTTGCTACATCTGCCACATGTGCCCCCCTATCCCACCCTGTCAGACGCCTTTTCATTTCCATAAATGCCAAAAAGACTCTTTAGCCTATCTAAATACTGTCACTTATATGTGTCATGTAAACACCTGGTCCACACCACCCTACCTGTCCTAAAGCCTCTTGTTCATCTGCAATCCATATTCTCCGTTTACTCTTAATTCTTTCAATTATAAACGCTACCATACACTTTACCAGGTACACTCAAACAGGGGGGACTTATCCCCCTTAATTTTTGCACTCTCTTTTATCCCCGTTGCCTTTATACAAAGGA